AATTTCAAATACTTATTCGGTTTAGTTTATATATTTTCTATTTTAATTTTAATTTTATTCATGTAAAAAGAAAATAATATTTATAAAAAAATTGAAAGTTATAGTATTTAAAAATATATACCAATACTTTTTAAAAGTATTTGTTTTTGTACTCATTTGAGTATAACTTTTTTTTACTGAGTATTCAAATACGTAAGTATTTTAGATACTTTTCTATATAAGTATCTGCACTCTGCAGCGTATATTTATATATTCAAATAATTTTAAAAATTATCACATTTTTTAGCGTGGTGAAGATATAGAAGACCAAGAAGACTCAAATACTATAAAACATATGGATAAGACATTCCTAGGCCATCATCACTAAAGTGACTAAGTATACACTTTTGGCCATTTGCTATTTTTTCTGATTTTCCGAAGTACACATTGCTAACATTGCTTGTATTTTAATTTGATAACTAGTGATTGTGAAGTTAGAGTTGAATGCCTTTATAATGGAAAACAAAACTGGTTCTCACTTGCATTGAAGCTTCTGAGCGATAAAAAAAAAAGAAACAACTAACAAGACAAAAAAAGAGATGTAATGATATAATATTAGTGATATTACCGTCGAAGTTGAAGAGACCGGAAAAAAGTTTGAGTTATCCAAATGAAATTTCAAAATATATGTATCAGTGGTGTTGGATCACGAATATGTATACGATGCCAAATCCATAAGTTTAAAGCCTCAATGAGAATTTTTGAACTTCTTGAATTCATAATAATTAAAGCTTAAAAATTGAATATTAGGTTCCATATACCTAAATTAAAATTATTGATATTATGAATTCAAACATTTAAAGATACATTTTATGCACAGTTTTCTTTCATAAGCATTTGATTTTTTGTCTTTTTACAACAGTGGCGTAGTTATGTTGACAAAAATAAAAATGTGAATGAAGATTTTTTWAAATTTATTCCTGTTCAAAGCTTGACAGGCAAAAATTTAGCAGATTCTATATTGAATGGTAATTGAAAAAAATATGGCTTACATTTTTTAAAACAATTTATTTTGATATTTTAATTTGGTATAATAGGATTGATGAGTTGTGGGGTTGACTGCAACTATTTATATGGACAAGGTTA